TATCGAAAAGAATATTCTTTGCTCGATTATTTTGTGTTTAATAAATGAAAGTTGTCAACAGAATTTCATAAAACGAAAACGTTGAAACATTTTCAGCGAATAAGTTAAGTGAATTTGCGCAGATTGTGGCAAGTTGAGAAATTCACGAAATGATGAACAACAAACTCATCCTGATTGTTCAAGTGCAGAATAAGTTATTGGTAACCTCTTTAAAGTGAGTCGTCTAGAATTCCATATTTACTTTCACCCTCAGTTATCTCACCAGCATAACAATATGATTTTATTTTTATGTAAAACTGCATATATCAGCACAGGACCATTGATGAGGAGCCAGAGCAAAAATTGAATACTTTTTAATTGTATAAGCAATTGTCTCATCATGGGTAGCAATGTGAATAGACTCAATAATTCTACTATAGCCTTACCGAGTATTTTCCCATGTACTTTTCAAATCATTATCATTTTGTAAAGAGCTATCTGATGCCGTCGTAGGTGACATTCGTATGCAGCTATACAGTGGGATGTAGAGATTGGCTTCTTGCTTTGAGACCATAACACGCCACTTTTAATCATTTCAGACACCATCTGAATTTCTGATCCAGCTACACTCAGAGCCCAACAAAATAACACAATTTCATTAGGGAATACCTGATGTACATATATAATAAATCTAATTCGGAACTTACCATGGTTTCTATCTACAAACACTAAGCTTCCTTCCTTTGTATAAAGAAATAATTCATCCAGCTCTCAGCCTTTACAATATGTAATCACATCATCGAAAACGTACCTATGCACATACGCAACCTGAGATGGTTTCCAGCTTAGAATTAAGGGGTGAGTATCTCAGGGGTGTTTTCTGTGTTATTTTTTCATTCAAATTCACTGCGCCAAGTAATTTACTGTCCATTTATATTTCGACTTCATATCCTTCTCATCAGATGAATGTTTTCTTGCAAAAAACACTCTGTAACAATAGATTATCCCAAACAAGCCCTTCATATTGTCTTATTGGTCGAACTTTTTGCCGAAGAAAATAAGATGTACAGGTGAATGACACTCTACTCATGTTACCCATTGTTAACGATGCTTAGTATATCAGTCTAGAAAACCGAACACTTCTAAGCACTTCCTGTAAGGTGAGAATTCAGAAACTTTGTCAGCGCCCAGAAACGATCACACTTACATGGTTCTATTTTGCCCAACTAAAGCCAGTCTCATCATACTGACATTCTACATTCATTAAGCTAATTTAAGTCACGGTACGACAACAGTGTAACGATTAATACACTAAACGGAAGTCATTGGATATATTCTGAAAAATTCAGAACCGATGATAAAGAAGATACACTCAGGATTCATCCATTTGAAATCATCCCATCTGATACACCCCGAGACGAATGCATTCTTCAAAGGAATACTTATCAGTGAAGACTGGTGCACTTATTTAATATGTGAATCATCTTTCATAAATTGTGAGACTCTACATGCATATGTATCTAAAGAAATTAGCATCTATCTAATATCTATATCAAGCTGATCAACCAAGAATTAATGGGAATTATCCATCTGAAGATCATATAAGACAGGAATAGAAGACCAGATTTAGAGTACAATGTTTATTCTTGCTAAAAGTACAGAACGTGAACTGTCACCACTATTTCAGTAGTATGTATCAGCGTCATGCAACGCACTGAATTCCTAAGCCTGAAAAATAAAGAACGAATATTGGAAATACAAAATTTGCCTCAAAAATGCGTCTGGATATAATATCTTAGGACCGAATGAGCCATGTTCATTTTTGTAATTGGTTGCTTTTACTTGTTTTGTGTCCTTCAATTGATCGTTCTTATTAACTAACACAAGTACATGATTAGTGTAATTTTGATGTGAATCCATAATTATTAGTGTAGAGCAGTTTAAGGAGAACTAATGGAAGGTGAATATTCCTTTCCTCTGAATTCGCTGTCTTTAAAATTCTGAAGTCGGTTTCAATAAGTAATATGCTTTATCGATAGGCCATATTTATCAGATATCTATCTATATATGATACATTGATAATTTATCGCAAGATTAAATTACAAAAATTTACCACCTTATAAAGGACATGTTAGCGACATTTTAACCATAATTAATAATCCTTATTTTAATACTTTTATTCAGATGGAATGAATGAAGTGAGAACAAGACTGTCACTAACTTCTGTTAAAGAGCAGGCCAACTGTTAATCCTTTTTTTGTATCTTGAAGTTTCTTTTGTGATCGAATTAATTTTTCGTGGTACGTTCGCTAGCTACACGCCTAACATCCCGCATTTTACGGAGTAGTAACTACTGAACTAAGAGGGATTAATAGATATCTTTTCTCTTTATCTAAGATGAGTAACCCCAGAATAGATATTTTATTTCCACAGATTATGAGCATTTGAAGATAACAACATAGTAATCATGATCATTTGAAATCCTTCTGAGTTTAGTAGCCAGTTGGCATCAGACAGACAGCCACTGAGAAACCGTGTGATAATCGACACTGTTTCATTCTACTCTGGGAAAGGTTCTTCACCAGTACACAGTTATATTTACTGATATCATTTGGAGCACAGTTTATCGGTTATAATCGTATCAAGTAACACTGGAGGACTTCATCAAAATAATGTTTTCTCTATAATGTGATTTATCAGTATCTGCCTTTCCTCGATACTGAAGATCAGGTTATAGGTCATAAAGGATCAGCAAAATGGAGATTAGTCAACAAACCAACCAAATATATATCGCCTAACTAATATGCAAAAGATATGAAGATGGGTTAGACATACACCGAGGAGACTGATAAGTAGCATAAGTAGTCACACGATATTTCCAGTGGAAGCCAGACGGGAAAAAAATGAGTCAAGTGTTTGATGGTAGAGGAGGTAAGAGCTACAGTCACCTGAAAATACTGCAGTGCACAGAGTGAAATAGCGATTTACTGCTGAATGTATATGTTTCACTCAAATCCTGGATCAATTGAGTGTATGCTGAATACGAGATGATCACCAATGATAGATAAAGAACAGAGTACTTAGATGGTGAATTGAAAAATTGAATAGAGTTATTCATTCTGTATTCATTTGAAATTTATATTTGAAAAATAACAACAATAACCATCCACAAACCACACAAGGCCAGAATATATTCACAGAGATCAATATACCAATGGAAATTAAAACAATGTTCAAAGTACAATAAATACAGCTACATGCCACGCATATAGTGACTGTGTTGATGTACACTGAAGCATATAAATGAGTGAATTGAAAGTGTTAACAGCACTAAAATCAATTTGGAATTAGGTGAGTTTAGATATCGATGACTTTTTAACAGTTTTACTGATAATTTATCGTCGAATATTTGTCTTGTGATTTCCAAGACACTGCCTGGTAACATAAAATGTGCAATGGAATAACAATTCCAGTTGATCATAACGATGTTGAGAATAATAACCGAACTGGAATTTCAGAACAACATATTCAGCAGTTTCCACTTCAATTCATGTAACTCATTGACACTTACGTGTCTGAGAAAGGTGCTTCCTTTGGAACTCTAATAGAGGTTAACTAACCCTGAATACAGAAACAGTCAGGTGTTTATAGATGCAAGGGGAAAGTAATGAAGCACTGATATGCTCACAAGGAAATATAATGAAGGATGTATTACACAGATTATTGCCAGTATCCATAGCCTAGAATCCACCGTTGATTGAGTGATTGCTAGTCATCCTGAGATTTGTATTATAGATGATCTTGGACACAGAAATAAGGATGATAAAATATTATTGAACCAGTTATCACTTAAAAGTGAGTGAATGGATGATGAAGAGTAATGTATGGAGAGATTGTTTCGGCCAGTATGTGTAATAAAGCTGAGAGTATGTAGGATTCCAAGACATGAGTCGAACGTAACGAGCCAAACAGTATTTTCCCTAAGACGCTCAACAAATCCTCGATTGACGTTATTCTTCGGCGTAATGAAGGTAATAAAATTTCAACTGAGAAACAGCACAGTCTCCATCATGGGATATATCATCCTATCAATGCCGAAATTCTTCCCATTGGATTTCTCATTTAGACATGCACAAAAACTTAGGAAATCTACGAATAAGTAAAAACGGGATTCAGGATTACGTGAACGAATCTTTTTAGAGTACGCATGCTTATATTCCTTCAAAACACAGTCGAGTCATCTACATTCGGTAGTCATCTGTGAACATTCTGAGCTAAACCAGTGAAATTAGTCTTGATAGCACCTTGTTTAAGAGCATTTTAATCAATTGGAAAGGATTTAAGGGGTTCACTATACACAGAAATAGAAAGATAATCGCTCCACTAGATTCTACTATCTTCAAGCATATGTGAAATGTAATAGCCTGAGATATCATCCTTGAAGTCAGTACTCATCTTTAATTCGAAAATGAATTCCGTGCAATCTACCTAGTGTCACAAACACTTACCTTTCACAACTTGCATTCAAATATTTCAGACATTTCAAATATTCATTAGTCAGAGAGCTCAATTCTGGACTACGCTGGAAGCAAATATGAACCAAAAACTGAAGGTTTGTTGAAACATCTGCACTGCTTTATTCATAGAATATAAATCTCCCATCCACTGGTGCACAAACCTGTCTTCGAAAGGTAGGCGTATTTATGCATTTATAGTGTAACATGTAATCAAATCAAGTACACCTTTTTTACGTGTTTAATGGTTTTGGCCGACTCCGCAGCTCAGTCGGTTAGAGCGTCGTGCTGATAACGCGAATGTCAAGGGTTCGTTCCCCTCCGGAGCCAGCGATTTTGTGCGTCGGTGACACAGTGGTAAGGACTCTCGCCGACCATTCACATGGTCCGGGGTTCGAGCACGCACCGACGCACATCTGATATCTATGGTCGGCCTGCAATATTTGGGCTACCGATATCCATGCTGAAAATTCCATACTTGTACCGAAAATACAGTGTGGAATCAAGCTGTAAATCAAAAATCAAAAAAAATCAAAAAAATCAATGATCACTACAACCTCTGTTTCAACTATGTAAGTCTGTATTGCAATTCCTTTTCTACATACTGCTGATTTTAGTGATGGACTTCGATATTTGTACGACACGTTTAACATGCCACTGGGTTTTCTGTGAGTCACTTGATGTAAATTATAACATTTGTTTCCTTGTCATGGTTGATTAATAGCTGTATGATAGTTTCATGAGGACTATTGTGATTGAACTTCTGAATATTGGTGACTGGCATTGAAATCTAGGATTAGGATTTCTCCCTTTTTGTGACTCGTTAGAGAGAGGCAACTGTATTCTTAGTAAACACTGATGTTTTTGCTGACCATTGGACCAGATATCAGTCGCTTACACGTGATAGACACTTTTTGTATTACGGGTATCAATTAGTATTTGTTCAGTTCAATTTTGTATTTCCCGTTGATTGAGATAGCTGGACTGAAAATTTTGGTCACCGGTGATCTGTTAGCTTATGGAAGGATGCTTCATCAATGTGTATGGATCAAGACGGTCAAGTGAAGTCACTCTAACGAAAATAAAAGTTTATTTTCAACCAGCAAACAGTTACTTGGTTATATTATTATTATTATTGTTTTCTTTAACACCTAGAGGAACAAAAAAATTCATTCGTGCGTCTCCATTGCGTTCGGTTCTCTGCCAACGTTTATACTCTGCCCCATGCCTGCACATAGGCCTTCATCTCATCTTCACATAACTTTTTCCATGTCACCCTTGCACTGACGACCAAACGGCCACTTACCATACGGATACCACTCGAGCGATGGCATGGTATGTGATGTGACTTGGTGATTTTCTCAGAGTATGGCCAATCATCCCGCATTTCTTCTTGCATATTTGTTGCAAAATTGAATCCTGGTTGGTTGGAAGGTTCTCAGAGATCTCTGTTGCTTATCTTCTATGGCCATCTGATTTCGGGTAGTATTGAGCGAAGACGGTTGCTGATGAAGGTCTGCAGTTATTTTTGAGGTGCTCTTTACGACGCACCAAGTCTCTGATCCATACGGTAGCATTGACTTCACATTGGAGTTGAAAATCCGGGTTTTGTTTTCAAGCTGAGTGCTGTTGACCTCCACACCGACTTAAGAGAAATGGAAGCTTGCCTTGCTTTCTCAATCCTTGCCTTGATATCCCCATCAATTCCGACCGCCTGTAGTTGAAACTATGCTTCTCAGATAACTGAGTAGGTAGTTAAAGGAAGTTGCTTCTTTCAAATCTCTCCGATTGATGGTGATTCTTGTTCGTTGTTGTTGCTGTCGGTGTTGGCTAGGTATCTTCTTTACATCTGTTCTCTCTATGTTCACCTGAAAGCCTATCTTTGATGCTTTTTTCATCATCAAATTGTCGCTTTTCACTTGCGAATCTTTCAATTTGTGAGAAATCAGACGTATATCATCAGCGAAGTTCAGATCCTTCAAGATTTTTGTGTGTCCATTTTATGCCTGTCTCCACTTTACCCGCCGCTGACCGTCTTAATATCCAGTCTACTGTGATCAATAAAGTCAGTGGAGATAGCAGACAGCCAGTTTGTCTTACTCCCGTCTTCACTTCGAAGGATTGTGTGAGTTCCTCGTTGCGGACTACTTGGCACGCAGCATTATCTTACAACTGTCGGATGGTGTGTATAATGGTTGGCGGCACCTCTTAGTAGCGACGTAAGTGCAAATCACCTCTCGTTCAACGCTTTGATATCGAAGGCTTTTTCAGTATCGATAAAGTTGAGACAGGGGGCTCTCTGCTATTCAGGGCTCTGTTCAATGTTGATCCGTAGTATTGTGATTTGATCGATGCATGACTTGTGCCTGCTGAATCCAGAGTGTTCCAGTCGACATTTTTATCCAGGGCTTGTTTGATTCCCTCCAGGATGGTACGGTACTTGAGTTTAATTTTTGGTTAAATGGCGTATCATAATGTGTTTTGTTATTATTGCATAAACTCCTACAACTGGAAGTAGGTGGAACAAACTTTGCTCCGATTGAAACAACACTGCTATGATGACTGACTGAACGCTAGTCATCACCAACAATGCTTCATTCTTTGTGAAACGTCGATGCGAAATGTTGCAGATTTTCCCAAACTAACAAGTTCAATTATTTTGCTTTTTCAGTGTACTTGGTTCAATCCCCGTGTCAGTACTACTCATTATGGAGAAACTTAGAGAGACTTTTCTACTCATTGAAGTACTGATCTCACTTTCGGTAAGTTTGCCTTAATTCAAGCCAATGACGTGAAATAATAATAATTTATTATCAAAGACTGGATCGCATATTTCTGTCGGATGTTACAAGCTGATTCATCACAGATTAGTCACATCTTTGACTCATGTGACGCAAAAATCCGACGATTATTTTTATCGCTGACTACGCGCTTTATTGACTGCTATGTTAACAATCATGTTTTTTGCATAATATGCGTGATCTATTTGTCATTCATATTATCTATCTAACGCAGTTGTGACTGAGGAAGACATACTTGTTAAGGCTAGACTTGTAGAGATTAAATACGGTTTGTAGACAACTGAGTGTATACAGCTGACTAGGTGAAGAATTCTGGACAGCCGAAGACCACTGAGATATCGTGCTTCACTTTTTGCTTCTTCAATATACTCGAATAACAAATTTAAGAATCAGGCGAGAAGAGGGAAGTTTTAAAACATGTTGATCACTCTAGTTCATAAGTCTGATATGTGCGAGCACCAATCGATTTCCTGGCAACACGTATTGCAAATCAAGTGACAGATATTCCAAACCCTCAATGAAAGAGTTATTTCAAAGGGCGAAGTATTTGTATTTTTGCTTTAGAACCTGTGTAAATCACACCAATTCAGTTACATTTGGGCAGAATGAATCTATATATTCGCTACGCCAACTGCTTGATTTGGTTTGAGTCAGTGCCTTGTTTTATACAAAGTGGAGGAACTCAGGTGACGTAATCAACTTGTTATCTGAAGGGCATGAAATCTGCCTCACTTGTCTTTCAACAAAACATGTGTACCATTGATTCTGTGATAAAATCCCTCACAGTTTCAGGTTGGCCCATCTAGTTTCTTAATGCACATTGATCATCATAATAATTCTCCTGGAAAAGATATCATACCCTATCACGTTTCTACTCGAAAAATATACAAATAAAAAACGGTAACCACAACTGCGCCGGTGGCACAGTGGTTAGGACTCTCGCCGACCGTGCCCATGGTCCGGGGTTCGAGCCCACACCGGCGCACACCTGATATCTATGGTAGGCCTGCAAAGTTTGGGCTACCGATATCCACGCTGAAAATTCCACACTTGTACTAAAAATACAGTGTGGAATCAAGCTGTAATCAAAAATAAAAATAAATAAAATTATTCGAATTTTGCACGTAAATCTTAAAATTAATTTGTCCAAATAAACATACGATTTTGTAACTCAATATAATCTATACATGTTTTAGGTTTTACTATGGTCTGTTGCTTTACCTGCTGTCACCAAATGCATGGAACTTTTAATTTTTGCACCATGCGTTATTACAATCATGCTAGATCTGCTGACACTGATAATTGGATACGAAACAGTGAAACGGAGTTCGAAAGTAAGCATCATACTATTGGGTATCGCTGGTGGAATCACAGTGTTGGGAATCATTCTGTTAATTGCTTTAAGACTTGCTCATCTTAATGTGAGTAGTGTGTTATTTTAGTGAAGGAGTAAGTTGTCTAATGATGATCCATGTCCATAAATTACTATTTCTTACGTCACTGGTCACCTTGACGTGATATTGGATCTTGCATGTATTAATGACCCAGTGAGCTGCACTGTTTGTAATTAGTGTTACTGCAGGTTGTGCCATGACACAAAAGTTGTTCTGATAGAGGTAAGACAAAGAAAGTTATCGTCAGAGTGTAAATAGTTCGCATTGTGTTTAATGTTTTCAGGTGAAGTTGTAGGGATGGGGAAGTCAGAATCTAACATCAATATAGCGTCTTCTTCAGATAATTATCAGGCCGAATCTACTGACCCTCCACCCTGTACAGCGTGGACTAGAAGACGTCAATCATGAATACCGCTCATCTGACTTATCTTGCTGTGGTCAGCAGTCAGTGGTTAGATCTTACTGTGACAGTCAACAAGTTCCAGTGTGTAGCTTATGTGTTTCGGCAAGTGATTTCAAATTTGTCAAGTCTGTGGTAAAGACTGAATTCTAAATGTTATTGTTACAACCTCATCAAAATACTAACAGGCCACCTACAGATAGTACAGTTTAAGTGATGTTGACTGATTGAAAGGACTACTAACAATAGCCTACTCGTCGATAACCACCAAACACTGCAAATATTATGCAGACAAGCGGTGGATGACACGGAACACAGATAAAGAGTATAGAACATAAGTAACTGAAAGTACTCGTATGATATAAAAGGTAAATCACTAATTTATTCATGGTCAATATTACTTTCTATATCTTACTTGCAGCGAATTGCGGTCCTACTGTCTGGCATGTTTTTGGCTTTCGCCGTACCCATAGTAAGTCAGATGGTGAATTTCGATAGTATTCATGAGGCTTACTATGTTATGTAATATATATATATATATATATATATATATATCATATGCCATCACTAATTATCCGTTGTTATTACGCTGATATATCCTCAGTACACTTCTGCGCATTCACGTATGCATTGTGTTACGTGTTGTGTGTTGTGTGTGTGTGTGTGTTACTAGTTGATTTGTCTTTCTATTATGAAAACACTTCTCTTAACCACACTTGATTATATCACCTTTCAAATCTTCAAATATTCAGATTTATAACATTCGAACAAGACATATAAGCGAACAATATTGTTGTTTTCAATTAGATCTTCTTCAGGCTTTACTCTAATTTACATAGACTTATATATAAAAAATTTCAACCAATGACGGTGATTTTATGGATCAAATAATAATAATAATGTGGTAAATGTTTTGAAAGAAATTAATAACAATGATTATAATGATAACAAAATATTCATAATAACGTTGCTGCAGGTGATAAGAATAACAATGATAGTATATGTATATATGTGTTTATGGAGACAATTCAGTAAATAAATAAATTGGGTCAAATCTTAAAAAGTGAAGTGGACATATAATCAGAGTTTAAATAAATATCATGAAAGTACGAAGGAGATGGATGATAAGAAAGGGTGGAAGGGTTTTAAATAGAATTCACCTAGGCCAAGGGAGAGACAAAGGTAGAACAAACTTCATCTTTTATTATTTCGAATTTTGATTTCTTCTCACGCTTATTTAGTTGCATCATCAATAAATTAGTCGTCTTCCTTCATTTGTCCGGTATCTAACCGACTGGACCTAAGGAAAGGCGTAAGGAGCGAAGAAAATTTACTTTTCATCGGTTCATTTTCATGAGCTGCACAATGGAAAATTTTATTAAACAAAGAAATCTTTAGATCAATCCGATACTGGGATGACCAATTAAAAATTATAAAAGAGGCAAAAGTTAGCATGACGTATTAACTGTAAGAAAATGACCAATCAATAAGCTCGTAGAGATTGGACAGGAATCAGGGAAAGGCGATAAAGTGTTTTTCTGTAAAATCTGTATGAAAAAGCAAAGTTATTAATAAACAATAGGTTATGTAGTGATGCTGCTGAGTGAGTTATTAGAGTTTTTCCCGTCGCCAATTATGTTATGTACTCGTCGAGTAGTTAATAGTCCTGACACAGATAGAGGGAAATCAGAAGACCACCAGGTTTACGATGATACTTGTATTTTCCAGACAAGGAAAATTAAATGTCACACAAATGTGTGAGTGAAATGGTACAAAGTGTACGAAAAAGTATGAAAAAGTGTCTAATACATAAGTATATATGAAAATGGTTAATACACATGAACCAATAAGACAACGTCTTACCATGATTGGTTGTGATGTCATGTGATAACAAGGTCATACATTGTTTATTTAGTTAGTGGATAGATAAAAGTAGATAGACAAAAGGAACAAAAGAGAGAAAATCAAGCAGGTTTTAGACCAGATAGAGGGTGCATAGATCATATCTTCACTCTCCGATAGATTGTAGAACATAGACACACTTTTCGGAGTTCAACAATTGCCATATTTCTTGACTTTAAGGCGGCCTTCGACTCCGTGGATAAAAAGGTACTATGGCAATGTTTGACTGTGAGGGGAGTGCCAAGAAAGTACATTGCACTAATCAAGGCACTCTATTCAAACTCACGTAGCCATGTAAGGGCTAATGGGGAATTTTTATCACAATTCATAACAACCAGTGGTATCCAGCAAGGATGTCCACTTTCCCCATTTCTGTTTAACTTCATCATAGATATGTTAATGGAAGTATCCTTAACTGAACGTAACGACTTAGGAATCGACTTGTTACCAGGGAATAATCTTATGGACTTAGAATATGCAGATGACATAGTCCTGTTAGGGGAGGATGCTGACAAAATACAGCAGAGTCTTCTGAACACCTTGAGCAGCAATCTTCGTATGTTCGGCTTGCGATTCGCCCCTGTAAAATGTAAGATACTCCAACAGGACTGGACCACGTCAACTCCTAACTTAGTGATAGGGAGTGAAGTGGTAGAACATGTTGGCCACTTCACCTATTTGGGAAGTTGTATTAGCACCAACGGACTGATTGGCGATGAAATCTCAGCACGGATCCGAAAAGCTCGAGCTGCTTTCGCTAACTTACGCCATCTCTGGCGTAGGCGTGACATCTGGCTGTCAACCAAGGGACGTGTGTACTGCTCAGCAGTTTGCTTCTTCCTTCTCTGTGGCTCTGAAACATAGCCAATACGAGTTGAAGACATGAAAAGGTTGACTGCTTTCGATCATAGATGTCTGCGATCTCTTTCGCACGTTAGGTGGCATAATAAGATAAGTGATGTTGACGTTAGGCGTAGAGTGCTGAGCATAGAGGGAGAATCAATCGACGAAGCTATAAAGTTACGTAAATTGAGGTGGCTAGGTTACGTGCTGCGCATGCCCAACCTATCACCTTCCCCGGCAGGCATTACTAGCTGATATAGTTGCAGGTTGGAGAAGAGTAGGTGGTGGCCAAACAAAAACATGGCCTCATCAATCCATGAAATCCTTGACAGTTAAACTGAGTCAGGTAGGGAGATGCAGACTTCCTGTTTGGGGCTCTCGGGACTCTAGGAATCAATGGCTGGAGACAATAGGTGACATGGCTCAAAATCGTTGTCAATGGCCAGCGCAGATGTATTCAGTCTCTGTAATCTTTCATATTCGTTTCTACTGTTACTCATTCCGTTTCACTCTTATACTTGTCAAACTCTATTAATTCTCTCCACTCATCTTGTCTACCCTTGTGTGCTATTCAGAACGTGGCAACTCGAACTGCTGCACTTCAGTGCCAAGTTCTATGTTGAATCCAGGCAGAGAGACAGAATTGAGTCAACTAAGAATGACATTTTATATTACAAAATCGGTCAATGAATTACATCTAGGCATCAAAACACCGAAGACAACCCCAACTACCATGTGATGCAATTCACTAATGTAAATATGCAAAGTTCAATAAAAAGAGTCTTCATTTTTGAGAATGAAACGATATGTGTAATATATATCCCCACATCGTTGAAAGTTTCATCCAATCTTCCTTAAATCTTTCATAATTCATCATGAAATGCAGAATATTCGCCCTGTCTCTTCCTCTCTCTTTCTCTCCGTGAGAAATATTTGCTTAGAAATATACCGAATACTTAAATACATGCTCTGAGTAGATTACATATGGAGACGGCTGTGAATTAATGTTACGGGTGGTGTGTAACCAATCCCGTGCTATAGGGAGAGTGTGCATGTTATTTCTCTGCAGGAGTGAATAAACTTGCAAGGTAGAACTTTAAATTTTTGTTCATAGACTTTAGTCCAGGCTTAACTGATTGCATTTGCTGAGTCATATCCAAGTGATATTGGTCCCACTCTGTACCAGAATAACGCTTTAACAAAAATTTATTAAGTGTCATTTCCTGAGTGAAGGTCATGTGACTTCGTACAGGAGTTCAACAGTACCCTACGATATGGGTCCACTACCTCTTCAAAAACAGACGGTGAAATAATGGAGACTGAGCTCATGTGATGTTGTTACATTACTAATACTTGCCTTGATCAAGTTAACTAATGGAAAAAAATACATAGTGTTTCCCAATTGGTGGTTATACAATTCAGAATATTTGATTTTATATTTTGATTACTATTTGATTTGGTGTATCATGTAACCATCTACATATTTTCAGAAATGCGAAAGGATGAACTCAAGTCAATTTAATAAACCATGGAATTAGTTGATGAATACTCTTCTTTGCAAATGATATACATGCAGACGTCAGACTAAAGTCCTTTAATCGAATATGGCTAGGATGGTCACCGAAATATATTCTACAGGTTCTGAGATTAACACAAAAGATATGAAACTACCTAACTTTAACACAGAACGCAATCCACTTTTTCAGTGATACAGGTAATAATTTATTAGAGTCTAGTCCTTAAAGAAAGAGTCGACCTTTTACTAAGATGTCAAGGTTTAATGACACATGACACAGTACTCATCACACATGATTATGTCCTTATGCTAATCATTGTGAAAAATGAGTGAAATGAAGTGATATAGGTACGGGGGGATACCTGGCATCCATCTCATTTGAAGGAAACCAACGTGGTTATTTATGAAGTGACCAGGATTGCTCAGCAAGTTTCTGCACGTATTACACCGAGAGGTATTCTAACATTTAGTCCAAACTCATAGTGATCTGAATGTTGTGATTGGTTCGGTGTGTGAAACAACTACCAATGTGTGCAGATTGCATGTTTGAATTCACGCAGAATACTTCCACTAGTTGTTATGTAAATGATTGTTAACGACTTGAAGTCGAATCGGTCAAATTTGTGAGTACTACAGTATTCAATAATTAAATACATCTGTCGACGATTAGTAGTGCAGCCGTGTGTTTAATCTCAAGAGTATTATCTCTGAAGCGGGCTGTTATAACGGTGTTAAGATGTGGGTTTGTTCTACTGTCTCTTCAACAGTACAACACTATATGATTGGTGAATTGAAAACTATTGTCATACTGGACAGAATGCACAGCTCAAGGATAGGTTGCTTTACCTCTCCAATCGAAAGGAAATACCACTGGAAATTACACTTTGTACGAAAAAACCACGTCGTTCCATGAACTTACTGTTTTCGGTGAATTCATTTACTTTAGCTGTACAGTGGCATTTGTATATAATTTAACATAATACATGGTATTAAAGAGAGTGGAGATTTGTCAAAAACATAGTTGAGAATATTGATCAATGCATAAAATGTTTCATGACAAAAAACGGGGAACATAATCTATCTTAACGGATGTGACATTGCAGAGTTTACCCCTCTTATTTGTTGCAAAGGTTTCAACATTTCCAAGATAATGTTTCAATCAAATCGTCAAGGAGAATTACGAAGACGAAATCCTAATCAGATTTCATTTAATCTGTTGTAGACACCCCTTATACAAACCACACTCCAAATCAAATATCACTTCATCACAAGATCTCCACATATTGGAGGTCGAATTGTTTTCTTTGTAGTGTTCGACGCATTCATGATCTTTAAAACAACTGTCTCATAAACACCCACCACCATAAACAACACATTCACACGGATACAGTTAAATTAACGCTAATATCACTAATTGTTTTGTTTCTTAACTTATGCGGTTCAGTAACCCTCGTCCCCTTTCATCAAATGGTTCAAAGTAATACGTTTTCAGTCTTGATTAGAAGGCTGACTTGAATAGGTATATAACGACTTCGTTATATTCATAAGTAAAAAACCGAAACTCTGATGTGAATTGAAGCCTTTGGTACGAATCAATAAACAAATTACCATAAATATTGAAAAAACACACACTGAGAGTCAAAATTTAGATTATGAAGTGGATATATTTAGACATTCATTGATCATTTCTCTAAGTGAGCTTCATATCGTCTAGTGTTGGGTGGTTAGTCTTTCTCAGGTAAGTAGTTCATTCCTCATGACTTGTCATTGGTATAATTTTCTTGTGATTATTCAGAATCTCAGTGACTTCATTCTTCATGTGAATGTATGTTTACGAACTGTGTGATTCGACTGTTTATGACGTCTTTTAGTCTATGCCAGTCCTGAATAGTGATCGTTTTGTAAAACTAAAATGTCGCCTTTTTTCTTCAAGTTTTTCTAGTTTTTTTTCTGTGTTTATTTTACTGACATGCCATTTATTAGATCACAGTAACACAAAGTGGAGCACCGATGAGGTTAAAGACATTTCACACCGCTTAAAACAATTTGCGCTGTTTGTATTCCATCACTAATGTAAATCCTGAACACGTAGTATACGTGAGTAGGGTTTAATGGGAAGGGAGAGGGCTGACTGTGACATATTGAAATCTTTGATTTTTACTGGGAGTTGACATATTTCTGTGTATATTCCAGGCCAAAATTATTGAATTCAGTATATATGTATATGATTTCTTGTTTAATGTGGATGTATATCGTTGTTCCATGGGAAGTCAAAATTACCTGCGCGTCACTTACATCTATAACAAATCTTTTTACTCCGGACGTTGATACTGAATAGGTAGACCTAAAAAGTCAATAATCTCATCAGTGAAGCATTTGAAGTTTATTACCATGTTGAAAAGCATTTCATAACAATTTTCGTAAATATGTTAGCATCGGCGATCTCTTATTGGTGTCAGCAATGAGATTCATAATTTATGGTTATTTTATTTTTCAGGTGGACGAAATGGTTGATATAGATTAGCGCTTTTATACAGTAATGACTAGCTTGTAAGTCTTGCTTTCCGCAATCTTTCACATAAACATTATAAGCAGCACATCAATTTAAATACGCTTATGTCAACCGATGATTATAATCACAGGAATCAACCCGGTAAGCAGTCTGGAGAACTGGGGCATGCACTCAAGCCAACTACTGACTCAAATGATGCAGCTAGATTTTCATAGTTTTCTGTTTATGTATTCGTTTTTTTTGGAGCATGTGTGCAGGTCGTTAAGATTCACATACTCTTGCATTGCATTAGGCCTATGGATATGCTACGGCTGATAAATTGACAAAAATTACCTAGAAGAATTATTGCTTGCTGGACTGTCTTCACTGTGATTTGGTTCCTTGCGTTTAATTATATTATCGTTGACAACTCTAAGCCAGTTTAGACTGCATAATCGACTTTAAATTCATTTCGGAGGGATACTTCGGAAATCCCATGAATGACGTCTTCCATATATATGATGACCTTCATAATGACTGTTTGCCTCAGCAGTTTTCATACCTTTCTAAACACTTGTATATCAATCATTTCAGAGATTTTTAAGCTGAGCCAAGTGCTGTATGACTTCACCTTTATTGGTCGGTAAATCTTGTCCACATCGATATTTCTGTTGAGTAAATTATCATGTGGGTACTGGTCTTCTGCGAATAAAGATAATATATCATCAGTGTCGCTAATCAGAGCATAAACAGTACTTAAAACTCTCTTAATCTTAAGCCTTGCTTGTTTATTGAGTATTAGGAGGTGAATAGTTAATAAATTGGATAGCAAAAATTACTTACCCCACTATTAACTGACATATAGTTCACAAAAATAATGCGGAGATATAGCTGCATGAGCGGTAATTTCTATTGGAAAATGTATTTAGTTGATAATAATAATAATAGTGCTATTTCTGTTTGTGATGACAAAATATGACATGGAGACACAGACTCCCATAGTATCCAATATGTCCACAATATGTAACTCTGTTTCGTTTCTGAATGTTCATTGAGGCTTTTTTCTAATTGTGTTTCAGAGTTCTGATTGTCCCACTCATTGTATTGTCGTTCTTCAGATTCAGAACCAATCCATTATTTGCACTGATCCTGATTGAAATAACAGTAAGTAATGAAGAGCATTCCAATTATTAGTTGACTTCATCTACTCATCATTGTTTCGTGTTTGTTGTGCCATTCACCTGGAAGTAGATGAACTGATTTCTACAAAACAATAAGAAGACACAATGCAGGGTATTTTGAACATTCTCATCAGAAAAGCCAACAGATTACGTTGGATCAATTGTGAATAACTAAAAGTCTCAAATGTGTTAAGGGTCAAGATTATTGTAAAGTGGTGAAAATATCCTTGAGCAAAATTAACATAATTTATGAAAAGTGATTACCAGGACAGATTCCAATTAATGCGTCTTCTTGAACGTATGAACCAGATTTAGGGCTTTATATGGCTTGCGCTTCATCGAATAAGTGTATTTAGTAAAACCTGTTTTATACTCTGCATCTGAAATCACTACTGAAATCGACTTTATGACTTGTCTCTGTGATGAGCCTAGCGACAGAAGAATTTGAATGATTTGTAATAGGTGATCCAAGTTGTTCTGGACATTTAAGAATGGGCCGATGAATCCTCCCTACGTCCGTGTGATCACACTGAACTGAAAATTAATAAACACAGGAGGATGCAATATTATGATTCCAGTGCTAGGCGGTTTTACGGGACGACATAAATATCATTTTCCTAATTAAAGCTAGATCCAGAACAAGACCTATTGAAAATCCTCCCTGCAGGTAACTATGGAACTCTGAGGATACTTAAGTCCTTTCGTGACTACAGTTATGCAATTAAATTCAAATAGCAATTTTCAAATTATTCAGCTATTTGGAACTCACGTAATCTGAGCAGGTGAAATTTTACCACGGACTCATTTGGAAACTCAGATTGCTCCGATGATAATATTTTATCCGTTTATTACTATGAAGGTGAGTATTTGTCTACCACCCAGGTCAACCAGCAGTGATTCGTAGGGGATGTAAGGGATTCATTTCATACAAAGGACGGCTATTTCGCTTATATGTGAGACCAAGCTAATTAGTGGTGTATCACTTTGGGCTGGTTGATGTAGGCACAAAACCTGGATGAATATCCAAGTTGCGACATGTAAGCCAGCACATGTGTTTTTACGTCTGTGAATCAAACTTCGATGTTATCTCATGAGATATTCGAATTACATCACAAGTGTACGCAAAAAAATTTAATAATTTCTATTGATTCACTCAAAACATTCACTTTATTTTCCGAACAGATTCTACTATGGTCTTTGAACATAGATAAAACAGAGGTGATGCAGATTCCTAGCCAACACCAACAGCAACAACAACAACAGACGACAGCCATCATGAATGGGAGGAACCTAGAAGAAACAGCCTCCTTCACCTACCTCGAAAGCATCGTTTCAACTACAGGCCGACTGAACTGACCAGGATATCAAAGCCAGAATCGGAAAAGCAAGACAGGCTATCATTACTCTTAAGTCTGTGTGGAGGTCAACAGCACTCACCATCACCAATGTGAAGTCAGTGCTATTATACTTGATCAGAGACGATTATTTAACCACGTCCATAGGTTGATCATGTTTCAAGTTGACTGAGACTTAGAACTTGGATGACATCATCTGTGGAATATCTCTCGGATCTCGTTTTTGAGTAATGCTTTCTAGTGCGGATATCAAGAAGTTAAGAACAAGTGGAAAACAAACATTCCAACTAATCTTGATCCATTTCATAAAGTTTCCACATTCAGCATTCTCCGCTCACCTATCTAGAATACGTCACTCATTCATCGAAGAATAATTTAGATTATTCAGAATATTGGTAAAACATATAAGGCAGAGATCATTGCAAATTAAGAAATCTGGTCATAATATACGAACTTTGGTCACATTATCAAACGTGCATCTTTTATTGACAAAACGTCTTCAAATCGATGGCTTCATGTATCATAAATCAGATTGCTGATATTTATCTGCATCAGATGTTGACAGTATTCGAAATGACAACTTCCGGATGGAGGATAGAATTGTTATAAGCACTTAAAATTTATAGTGAGCTTCCTAAAGTTATAAAATAATTATGTGGTTGTCTGAAAGTAAAAGAATCTCTATTGATACTGTAAATTAAACGGAAAAGTTTAGTTATTAGTTGTGATTTATTTCGATGTACTGTTTTCAGCATCTTCTGTAGTTATAGATTGCTGAAACTGATATCATCGACCTGTCATCAACAAGTTGCTAGATCAATAGCTGATGTTGACGTTGTCTTTTAATTTCGTCACACAAACGCTACTGTTTTCCGAATTTTCTGTCAAGGTTTCTCTAATGATTTTTTCACTCTAAGTTTAACAATTTTCTCTTTACTTTCTTTGTTTTTCTGGTGGCTGGTTTGCCTCATCTGTTAGTTTCCTACTGATATTCTTGAATCCTGGCCTATCATCACTTTCTTTAGAAGCCTTCTGGTCGATGATGAATAATCTTTCCAACAAACAGAAAAAAGAATGTAGGTGGTGCTGAAGCACTTCGGAAATTGGGGAAAAACAAATGGAAGAGACAAAAGCGCGCTTTGCAAAACCTTGCCATCCGTGGATTCGATTGTGATCATACTCTCGCCTGTATAAATTCTTACAATAAGCTTATCCTCATAATAAGTTCTTTACAATGTGCACTCTGAGGGATTTCACTCTAATTACCAGGGAAATATGTTGGATCTTCCTCCTCACGATAGAATAAATGCTACATAAAAACACTTCAACTGCTTATCATGTTTACTTCTGAGACAGTCGATTTTGATAATAGTCTACAATTGGTGGATGGTGGTTAGCAGTGGAATCCAGGATGCGCATTCACCAAAAGATACTTTAATTACGAAGTGAGATCAAGAATCGCAGACGATAAATATTGTCCAGTCAATAGCACACACAGTAGCAGATCAATATGGAAAGAAAATATGATCAGGAGTTCAAAGTGAACTGACACATGTAGCATTCCACTGATTCATGTTTTGCTGACTATGATTCAAAAGTGCAAAAAATGCGTGTAAATGTAAAAACTGGCATGGAGTTATGCTTCTGTCCATTCCAAGCAAGATATTAAGTCGCATCATCCTGGAGAGAATCAAACAAGCCCTAGATGAAAAACTTCGTCCGGAACAGGCCGGATTCAGGAGAAACAAATCATGTATTGATCAAATCGCCACTCTACGGATCATCATTGAACAAAGCTTGGAATGGCAGTCACCTCTCCACCTCAATCAACTTCATCGACTTTGGAAAGGCCGTCGACAGCGTCGATCGAGAGGTGATTTGGAAACTACTTCGCTACTACGGGGTCCCATCGACAATTATACATCTCATCCAACAGTTATACGATAATGCTGCATGCCAAGTAATCCACAACGGGAAATTTACCGAAGCTTTTGAAGTGAGGACGGGAGTGAGGCAAGGCTGTCTACTATCATCAATGATCTTCCTGATTGCAATTGGTTGGATAATGCGACAGACAACGGCAACCAACGAGGGAACATGCATAAAATGGACTGACACAAAAGACTTGGAGGATCTGGATTTCGCCGATGATATATGTCTGATTTCCCACAAACTGGAAGATATCCAAGTGAAAAGCAACAAGTTGGCAGAAGAAGCATCAAATATAGGACTTCAAGTGAATATAGATAAAACAGAGGTGATGAAGATTCCTAGCCAACATCAACAACAACAACAGACAACAATCAGCCAGCATAAATGGGAGGAACCTGAAAGAAACAGCCTCCTTCACCTACCTGAGAAGCGTCGTCTCAACTACAGGCGGAACTGACCAGGATATCAAAGCCAGAATCGGAAAAGCAAGACAAGCTTTCATTACTCTCAAATCTGTGTGGAGGTCAACACCACTCAGCATCAAAAATAAGATCTGGATTTTCAACTCCAATGTAAAGTCAGTGCTGCTATACGGATCAGAGACTTGGCGAGTCATAAAGTGCATCTCAAACAAACTTCAGACCTTCATTAACAGCTGTCTTCGCTCAATGCCACTCAAGATCAGATGGCTGGCAAGATAAGATCAGTAACTGGGATCTCTGGCAATGAGCGAACCAACCCAGCAGGAACCAATTGTGAAACAGATAGTCAGGAAGAAATGGAGGTGGATTGGCTGGCCATACTCTGAGGAAACCATCAAGTGACATCACTAGACAAGCTATTGCTCGAGTGGAACCCGAAAGGGAGGCGGCGAGTTGGTCGTCAGTTCGAGCGTGGGGTGACTTGGAGGAGGTCATGCGAGGAGGGGATGAAAGCATGTGGACAGACCTGGAGCGGGGTGGAAAAGTTGTCAGAAAACAGAAGGCAATGGAGGTGCGCAGCTGACGCCCTATGTTCCTCTAGGAACTAAAGGATACAATAATAATAATGCGATGATTTCAGTATATCAGTATTTAATCAAGTAGGCGGAATACAAAGTGAATTTTCGCTATTGTTACTAAGTTTAAATGAACCAAATGATTCATGAGGAAAACCACTTCTCACTTCAATATTTAAAAAACAAAAAATAAGTGACTCATTGAAGAGACTGTTATCAATGAATTTTATGAACAAGCTGCACAACCTGTATATGCTATAGTTACTTAGGAAATTATATCCGGTGAGGAAACTAAATCACATGTGTGAATATATAAAATAATAATACTAATATTAGAATGAAATACAATTATTTTATTTTTATTTTTTTTTTATTTTATGATTACAGCTTGATTCCACACTGTATTTTTCGGTACAAGTATGGAATTTTCAGCTTGGATATCGGTAGCCCAAATTTCGCAGGCTGATCATAGATATCAGGTGTGCGTCGGCGTGGCCTCGAACCCCAGACCATGTGAATGGTTGGCGAGAGTCCTAACAGCTGATCATAATCATAGTTGAATGTCAAGTGGCGAACCAATTACTGTCATATGTAGAACAGTGCATGTGATGTATCGAACGTTGGAAGGGTGTGATATTTTGGGATAAGTAAAGTAGGGGAACAATGAAAATCAGAAAGTTACGTAACGCTGTGTGAAATCTAATAAAATAGAATTGAACCTAGCAAAACAAAATTGATCTAGAAGCACAAGTAGAACAAGTGAAATAATATAGGGGAGTGTTGAAATTGTGAAGAAAAATAATAATCCTAAAAATTGACTTGATAATGGAAGAATATGCAAACTAAATATGCAAAACGAATAATAAGTGGAACAAAAATACTGCAAGGAATTATTATACATTAGAATAGAACCATTAAGACCATTCTGGTCGAAGGGACTGAATGCACTTTTTTCTGTATACAGAGATATGGCTTTGATGATTGAAGATGGCTTCAGTAATGCAGATGACTTGGAAATTAATTTACGCCTTGAAGATAATTTTAAAGGAGGAGACTGTAGACGTAGGGTGATAATTATCGATCAAATGTTCAGTGATCGCACTTCTTATTGCTCCACTTCTGCATCTTCTTTACCATTCAGTACAGTGTTCTTTCACCCGCTTGGACAACACCTGTATCGAACGACCAAGGAGGTGATTGATAAATGCACATACAGTTGGTTAACTATGTGATCTTGTACTTCAGGTTAATGAATAGTAGTATTGCTCCGTTGTCAAACGCTATCCTCAACTATGTAGAAAGGAATGGCTTTTTCAGGGATTGTCAGAACCTTCTTCTATGATGCTAACAGCCATGGTGCTTTCGAATACAATGTTCATGCAGAGCATCTTCATGGTTACGATGTTAGGTCACATTTCATAGGTTTTCACTGTATGTTCTTTCTTGTTTATAACAGTTGGCAGATATCCATTCACTATGAGGATTTTACTTAGAAGATTTCACTCTTCCAACAGTTATACATTCTAAGAAGTCTTCTATATTTGACAAAAACTGCTTCGCCATTTGACATTTGAGTATAATTATAATCACACACATTATAACTGCATTCCATATTTCTATTATTGTTTTGTATATCAATTCCTTCGGCGAGCATAATTTTATAAATACCATAAACATATACAATTATGCAGCTTGATAAGAAAATCAATGAAAACAGTCTCTTCTCTGAAACATTTGTCTTTATTTCTGATATGTATCTATATATATATATATGGTGGTCTCTCTTTCTGTTGATCTCTTAGTCTCTGACCATTTCACTTTGATGAACTTGTCTCCTTTAACAATGTATATTCCCCTTATATTATAAATAATATGTGTGTTTGTTTGACATGTCTGTTATATTTGCTAGGTATATATGGATCGATACTCCATTATAATTAGCCAATCATGTTAAGACTGTCTATTGATTTGTTCATTTTGGATAATCGCTCACACACTTGTGTTCAAACACTTGTTCGGACATTAATGTATATTTTTGCTCTCACACTCTTGTGTGACATATTGATTCTCCTGGTGTTTTGGAAAATAGAAGTATCATCGCAAACCTAGTGGTCTTCTGATTTCCGTCTTTCTTGCGTCAGGACTATTAAATTCTCGACCAGTACGTAACGATAATTTGGCGACGAGTACATAATAATTTCTTTCATTGATATTTACTGCAGCTGAGTGAGTTATTAGAGATTTCCCCGTCGCCAATTATGTTATGTACTGCTGCTGAGTGAGTGACTTATTAGAGCATCCTGGATTCCACTGCTAGTCACCATCCACCAATTGTATCCTAAATCAAAACATTGTTACCATGATAGTAGAAATGGTTGAGTAATCTTCTTTTGTATTCACAGATCCGGTTTTTCCATGTGAATGGCCAGAGCTTCAGCGATACAAAGGAGACGAAACCGTATTGCCTTTGATAGGTTATTCTTGACTCTGTAGATTACTTTGAAGTGGGAGGCTTTTGTTGAAATGCCCTGAAATTGTTGAAATAATTGGGGATTATTCAAACGATTCTAAACGAAATGGAAATAATCTGACTTTCTTGAGACAGGAATATTGAAAAATTGGACATTAAACTTTAAATGTATTCGCTCCATCTCAAACAACGTATCGGACAGTTATTCCGATGACCATACGCATATAAGTTAGTGAGTGAGGTTATGCATGGATTAGCTCCACGGCAGCTCCACAAATGTCGAAACTCCTCCTATTATTGGTAAAACAATTCAATGAATGAGAAGTCAATCTAGTGATGAATAATGGATATGAACCTATGGAACTAGAACAGATAAATAACATGCTTACTACATGTGATAAGAAAATATGATGTACAATCATATACCTGCACAGAACCGATTGATTTTACATTATTAACTCTGTTGCAGATTCCGGAATTCATTAGAGCTGTTTTCTACTTGTATTTTAGAGTACTGATTGTCCTGCTTTGCTTGTTGCTATTCTCCAAATTCAGAAATAATTTGCCAGTGGCTTTGATTCTGATAGGAATAATAGTAAGTTTCTGAAAAAATTAACATTATGAATTGACTTCATGTACTTACGATGATGTCATATTTGATGTGCTTTTCAGTTAAATAAAGGTCGACTATTTTTGACGAAACAATAAAAAGACACAGGATTAATCTGGGTCAGAATGGTTACTGGTCTAGGTCACAGACAATGCGTAGATAAGTGAGGAAAGAATAAAAGGAAGGTTGAAAAGATTACTGTGTGAGATGAACCAAGGTTCTAAAACCGAATTACGAAGACATGTTAAGAGAAATTGGAAATGATTTTTTATCAGGTAAGACACGTTTAAGCCAATTTCTTGCTGAGATTTCATTGAATTTAATTATATTTTTAAACCTATAAAGCATTTACGTTTGAAAAGATTACTAGGGAGAAATTTGTGACCTATCTCAATGATGCGGTGATCGACAGATAGATGACGTTGGAAATATATTTACAATACTAGGTGAGTTTATTTCCTTTTTACAGCTATTCGGAAATACGTTCTTTTGACCTGACCAGTAGAGAACTATGAATCCCCCATATATATGACTATGAATGCATGTTTAAATATAAAGAAAGTGAGATACATCACCGCAGTCAGTGGGTATACTGGAAAACAGATATTTTGCCAGCCACTCTAAACGAGAACCACATCAGCAACAATACACATTGCATATCTGTCATAAAGATGAATAAGGGGCTTCGGTACCAGCCACAGAGAATTAAAGCGACGTATAGACTCATTTCCTATCAATGTTATGAAAAATATTAAAATATTCGTATTAACTTATTGAAATGGTCTGTTTTATTTCGCCGACAGATTGTACTATGGTCTACCAATATCGTGTCTATATGTTGCGATTTTAAACAAAAAATCTGGTGTATTCTGTTAGTCTTCATTGTTCTGGAAGACTTGATAACAATCATCTTCTTAGTCATTATCAAAAGATTCAAACAACAAGTGATGCTGTTCCTGCTGTCCTTATCGGCACTGTTTTTGATAACCGGCGTAATCCTGTTTTTCGTAGAGAGGAGTAGGGTAGGTGAATTGAAATGTCATATAGACTGTTGTACTTTGACACTTATTGTTTTATTATGACTATTACTCACATTTTATTCGAACCACTTGCCAATCTCTGTACTCTTGAGATCAGCCATACACGCCTGATATGTATCCATATATATATGTGTGTATGGTGGTCTCTCTCTTTCTGTTGCTCTTTTAGTCTGTGACCATTTCACTTTGATGAACCTGTCTCCTTTAACAATGTATATTCCCCTTATATTATAAATAATATGTGTGTTTGTTTGACATGTCTGTTATATTTGCTAGGTATATATGGATCGATACTCCATTATAATTAGCCAATCATGTTAAGACTGTCTATTGATTTGTTCACACACTTGTTTGAACATTCATATACATATATTTTGCTCTCACACTATTGTGTGATATATATTGCTTCTCTTTGTGTTTGGAAAATAGAAGTATCATCGCAAACCTAGTGGTCTTCTGATTTCCGTCTTTCTTGCGTCAGCACTATTAAATTCTCGACCAGTACGTAACGATAATTTGGCGACGAGTACATAATAATTTCTTTCATTGATATTTACTGCAGCTGAGTGAGTTATTAGAGATTTCCCCGTCGCCAATTATGTTATGTACTGCTGCTGAGTGAGTGAGTTATTAGAGTTTTACCCGTCGCCAATTATGTTATGTACTCGTCGATTAGTTAATAGTCTTGATGCGGAAATATCGATCCATATACACATAGCTAACAAAACACATCATGTGGATACATATCACAATAATAGAGTGGTAATAAAATGTGAATGATTTGAATAATAATGATAATAAAATAGTAGCAGTCATAACAGTAACAATTCTGAACTTACATAATAAAAAGAAGGAAAATTATACTAAGAACTGTACTCTGACCACGGTAGGGCGAGAGAATGTATGTTTCACATTTGAATGTAGTGATCCGGTTTCAGATCTCAAATAACGAATGCTTCAGCTATGTACAGTGGCGTATGCAAAGTCCCTTTGTACGATATTGAGGGACTCTGTGTAACACTGTGAAGCATTCATGCGTGGATGACCAGGTGTTCGAGGGTGAAGTTGCTGCTATCATGTCATTTATGTATTACCAAGTTGACCATGAATAACGTGATCTTACAGTTTGAGTACCTCAACATATTGCTGCTTCTCCTGCACCACAGCTTATGTCTTATTTGAGAAACTTCGTCCATATCGCTCAGATGACTACAGCACTTTCCTATTTCAAGGTGTTTTCAATTTCCAAATACCATATGTTGAAAATGCGTTGATTTCTGAATCATGCTTCAGTTTGAGAAGGTCGTGTGAATTAACTGAATAATCTCTGAACAGGAAGATCATCAGTCGAATCAATATGTGTGCGAAATTTGGAGACAGTAATTTTCACATTTTGATGTTGCTGGCAATCTCTTTTGAGGCGATCATTCATATAACTTCCATTGTTTTCACATTTTGCTTCTCTGTGTTAGGTATTATATCTCACTGGACAAGGTATAAAGCGGTGCAACAATGGGACAACGAAGACCCTTCTACCGATGTGGTTAGCTCTGATTACTTGGGCAGGGTGTGTTTATTTATTCATAGCCATAGCTGTGATGTTTATAGAAGGCAAAACGATGACACGTTGAAAACTGAAGAATAACGCCCACCGCTTTTGAAAGATCAAGGTCATTCATGCATAAAGTAACTTCACCCGTTTTTCTCTTTTGTTGGTTCTGTAGTAACAATGAATTCTATTTGAAATGCATTTTGCAGTGGTGTATTTTATGTCCACTAATAACAAATGAATGGGTTTTTCTCATGTGTTAGATTGTGTGAGTAAATTTTATCTTGAGATGGGGAAAGGGATAAGAGTTGCGTAATGGAGTTCTTGCGTTCACTGACTATTAAAACCAGGTATAAGTTAACGGTGAGTTGGTTCACATAGACTGCATGGTTTGAGTGTTTACCAACTATTAGCATAAGGAAGTTTATTATGAATATGCTGTCAACAACATTTGAATATTTATCAGTATTGAGTCTGCATACAGAAAGAGATTTTGGTTTTAATCGAGGTGATTCAAATGAAACAGTCCTCACATGACTCAAACTTTTGTATTCAGTTGTGAATGTTTTGTTTGTAAATTCGTAAAGGTGTCCACACAGTCTCTTCATCTTCTCTCAGACTGTGTTTTGTGGGTATCTCGCAGTATGTGTATGTAACTTTCCTTCTTAACCAGTTGATTTTTCTGTCATGGTGCTTAAAGAGATATTTTCCTGTTGCACTAAAGCCAGCTTTCGTACTTGTTGAATTCATGATTTTCATAGCCTCAGACTAGTCGCGGTTGACGTCTGACTGATATGAGTAGACTACTAACTCTTTACTTAAGAAATTGAATAATCTACTCTTATTCAACCTTCTCAAACACATTTCTAACATATCTGTCTCTTTATATGCCTCTGCAATCCATCTGGTTCAACCAGCAGGAAACATGAAGATTATATACTATTTTCCGTTGCTTACTTTAGCTTTCATCGGGAGAATGTGAATCAGTCGACGGGATTCACAAAATCTTCAATCTATTAAAATCATCCACCCTCAAACATACAAGTTTTCCCCTCCTGACTGAACGATAACTTTATTTTTTCATTTGTCCTGAACTTCCAGAACCACATATAGCCAATTACAGCTGTTGAAAGCCACCATGCAATAATGTTTATGGTGGCTCAAAATGTGTGTCGGTGGCACAGTGGTTAGGACTCTCGCCGACCATGCACATGGTCCGGGGTTCGAGCCCTCGCCGACGCACACCTGATATCTATGGTTGGCCTGCAAATTTGGGCTACCGATATCCACGCTGAAAATTCCACACTTGTACCAAAAATACAGTGTGGAATCAAGCTGTAACCATAAAAAAAATAAATACTCCAGAAGTTGCTGTATTGCCTAGTTTCTTTGCTTCTTTTAGGTCAAGCTGAGAAACCCTAAGTGGTTTCCCCTGAGAAGTTTAAATATCTCTTGTGAGCTTCCAGTATTCAAAATGACCATGCTGTTATATTTGAATGCATTTCAGACGGTCCACTATATTTACTTTTCTCAGTGACTGAGAAGTATGCAGATATTTGTGATGTCATTTCATTCATGCTGTTTAATTAGATAATCTCCCATGAAACATCCACTGAAGGAAATGTTAGAGCAAAAAGATCGGTCTGGAAGAACTTGTAAGAAGGTGGTTATGCTATTGATATGCTACACTATGTAAGCCTTACCGAAAATTTAGTATGCCAAATTCACGGCGTAATCAGTATAATATCTGACTTTTAAGTACTGATAATCAAACACAAAACAAAAAGACTCCGTTAATTGGAAATCTGAGCTACATATTCCAACAGAAATAAAAGTTAAATTTATTTAGGGAGAAGATATTAGAAGTCATTTGATGAACATCACTGAACGATATATTCTCGGAGTGAACTCGTTATCAGCAGAAAGGAATAGACTCAAAGGAGTTCAGTCTGACTGAATCCTTTACGTTTAAATGATTTTCGTCAACAACAGCGACGCTTTTCCTTCAATTGATGGGGATGACTCAACTTGATAAACTGGTAACATTTTGAAAAATGCATTTGTAAACGTTACGATGTGAAGACACAAATGTTTGATTAAAACGAAAAATTTAGAAGCAAATCTGAGCAACATGTGATCTGATTGAAGATGTTATTTCGCTAGTTCGAATATGAAGCAGGCTGCTTTCAGTTCAGAGGTTTCTGTTAAAAATAAAAGGATTCCATGTTAGAAAATTGAAAGTAATTGGTTTTTCAGAGGGAAAAAGGAAGGATGGCTTTCAAAAATTCTCATTCCGATATGATTTTAGTCAGTGAATTAAGGTTCATCCTGCTTCTGATCATATATTGCTTGCTTTAT